CACCTGACGTGGGACTCGTCACAGAGGCAGGGGCGCTGAAGCGTTGCTGTTTTCTGCCGATCCGTTTTGGCCGCTGATGGGCCTAGCGGACAGCCTAGGGAGGTGTGCTCCGCTGGCTGTTTGGTCGCATGTCCGCTAGTGTGCCGCCCTAGGCCGCACAGGCAAGCACGCGCTGGGCTGAGCCGCGGGTGCGGCGTGGGCTTCCGGACGCGCGCTTCTGTCCGGAAGTCCGGGGGCTGGTAAGCCCCATAAATAAATCCTTCTAGAGTATGTGCAATTTTCTCTATTCATTCATCTTAGTGAGAACAAATGCACCATCTGGTGCTGGTCACCCATCTCCACCCAGGCAACACGATTCGGTGCCTTGGCAATCTTGTAAGACACCATCTTCATCTCCTTATTGGTCTCCTACCAAATGCTTCGAACAACAAATGTGTTCTGGGTGTTGGTCACCGCCTACCGCTCACAGTGATATTGATCAGTGGGTCACCATTCTGATTCTTGGCAACAATGGAGGGCGTTGTCCTCGCACCTTCTGCATTTTCAGTCACCGGTGGTGTCTCAATAAGCAAATTCATCCATCACTTTCCGACAACCACATTCATAACCAACTACTATTTAAACATGCACCGAAACTGCAACAACGTTAAGACATGACATTAGATTGACACAGCGATTGAACTGAGGGGGTGTTTGTTCTTCGGTCCCTCCTAAAATTCATGTCATATCAAATATTTAGATACTAATAAAGAACATTAAATATAGATTAATTACAAAACCAATTATATAGTACTAATAAAGAACATTAAATATAGATTAATTACAAAACCAATTATATAGATGTAGGCTAATTTGTGAGCCGATTTTTGAAGCCTAATTAATATATCATTAGCACATGTTTACTGTAGCACCACGATGTCAAATCATAGACTAATTAGGATTAAAAGATTCATCTCGCAAATTAGTCGCAAGTTGTGTAATTAGTTTCGTAATTAGTCTATATTTAATACTTCATATATGTGTCTAAATATTCGATGTGACATGAATTTTAGGAGCGTCTGTAGAAACCAAACAGGGCCTCAACCATTTCATGATTCAGGCATTACATCTACTACAGATGGATACAACAACCAATTTACAAATAACAGAATATGGCAAAATTCCGAGTGGATAGAAGAATATGACAACACACCTCCAGATGCTAATTATCTGAGAAGACGAGCTTCTGCTCCAAGCCTGGAGAGGAGAGATCGTAAAAAGCAGAGAATAGATCATCACACTGATTTTATTGGGAGAGAAAAATACTGTTCTGGTCCTGTTCGCTTCGTTGAAAAAACAAACCGAAACACCGTTCCGGTTGATTTGTTGTGAGAAAAAATATTGTTCCAACTAAAAAAATAAGCTAAAAAGTACGGATTATAAGATAAGCGAACGTGGCCTTATAACCCAAGCATCACACGCAACGCAATAAGTTGGCCTTAACCAAGGGGCAAGACCTGTGCTCCCAAGATTTTGAAGAGGAAAGAATTGAAAGACTAACTTTATTGTGGTCCCAATATTTTAAAAAAGCATATGACCAGCTTATAAATGGAACCAACAAAACTGTATAGGCACTAACAAGATCTATGCAAATGCTTCAACTATGCAATACTGCATGAAGTGTATTGTAAATGGGAAATTGAATTTTAATGTTCTAATCACGGTGTTGGCAAATGTAGAAAAATAACCAGTCCATTTCTGAGGCGATTTCCACGATATGTCACACAAGTCCATCCTAAAAAAATTCAACACTAATGAACATTGCTGAACTTGCCAACCTTTTTTTGAAATCCGCAAGACTGTACAAGTTGAGTTTTTTTTAAACTAATATCAAGATAGCATAAACTACATGAACATCCAAGGCATGGAGATACTGTTCTCAGGGTTCAAAATTTCTGTGAAATTCCAGAATTTCGGTAATTTTGGTGGTGGCCGAAAGAAAAATCCAAAATTTTGCAATACAATAATACATGTGCTATATACCTCTGGACTCATATTTTTATTGTTTATATTGCATATTCGTCTATTCAATGGATGCGTAGTCATAAAACATGTGCTATATATATATATATATATATATATATATATATAACTCTAGACTCATATTTTTTATTGTTTAGAAAAAAAATACTTCATTTGCTAGTTTCTCAAAAAAATCGACGAAATTTCAGCCGAATTTCGTGAAATTCAGAAATTTCAATGGTGGCTGAAATTTTTGCAATGCCGAAATTAAAAACGGTAACTACCGAAATATTGACGAGAACGAAGGCCATCAAACCTTGGAGTGTGATACAGGAGACGACCAGCATGAGTACAGTATCGTCAGCGCTCTTGCTGACCTTAGTGGCGACATGCTAAGATGAAGCGTGTGCTAGGACAAAGGCGACGACGAACCCTTCGGACATCAGAGTTCAAGCTCTATTAATCTGTAACCAAACCTACTCTTATTAAATGATCAATAATGTCGATACCAAGCATAATCATGTAGCGGTAAGTCAAATAAAATGTAAAAAGTACATATACCTTTGCTTGTTTATCTTCCTTCAGTTCTTGACCTTATTGTGAGACTTCGACAGCTTCTTATCTGTAATATAAAGCATAGCACCAGCTGAGTGAATTAGTGACTTGGTTTTGAATTACAACATTATCTGTAAGAACCAACAAGAGTACCAATCAATTTGAAGACAATGCAAAGATCTCAAGACACTGAAGGCTATTCAAAACATGAACTCCTCGGCGAGCCCTGAGCCGGTAGCAGTGTGCAGTACAAGCTCTGCATAATCAGCCTGAGCCAACAATGTTTTCCTCTCACATCAAACCAGCACCAGCCGGGTTTATCAGCCCAGAAACCAACCAGCGAACAGACCGAATACCCCGAAACAAAAATAGGAGCTAGGAGCCTAGGACCAGGTATGAAGTGTGCTACCAAAACATGGCAACTCTAAGTGGACTGTAAAAATGATCAAATGAAATTAATCCCAGGATCATTATTTTCTTAAATAAAAATATGATTCAATGAAGCCCACATATTCTTCTTAACCAAAAGGGTTAATCGGAGAAACATCATTGTAATTTTTGCGGTTCGGAGAAACGCCATTACTATTCATATATTTTGAAGCATGCCATTATAATTCTTCGTTTCCCACAAACATGCTACTGAATATGTATGGACACAGCCTGAGCCCAACTGCAGGCGTATACGAAGACATATACTTCATCTCCCCTGTCACTGACACGCGGGCCCCACATGACATCTTCTTCCTCCTCTTCTCCTCCTATCTCTCTCCATCCCGACGAGCAGCAGCAGTAGCACGCCGAGCAGCACGCCGGCAGCAACACGCGGCCGAGCAGCAGCAGCAGCACGCCGCGGGCGAGCAGCCTTCGTCGGGGACGAGCTCGCCATGGCCGGGGCGAGCTCCCCATGGCCACCGGCGCCGAGCTCACCATGGCAGCTGGGGCCGAGCTCACTGGGGCAGTCTGCGTCGCTCCCCATGGCCGCCAAGGCCGAGCTTGCCCACGGCAGTGCTGCGCTCGCCATGGCCGCCAGGACCGAGCTCGCCCGCGCCTTGGACTCAGGCTGACCTTGCTGGGGCAGTCTGTGCCGGGGACGAGCTCGCCGGGGCAGCCTGCGTCGGGGGACGAGCTCGCCATGATCGGGGCCGAGCTCCCCATGGCCACCGGCGTTGAGCTCGCCATGGCTGAACTCGCCGGGGCCGTCTGCGTCGGCGCTAAGCTCACCATGGCTGCCGGGGCCGAGCTCGCCCGCGGCCGTGCTGCGCTCGCCGTGGCCGTCAGGTCCGAGCTCGCCCCTCCCCCATGGCCACCGGCGTCGTGCTCGCCATGGCCGCCGGGGCCGAACTTGCTGGGGCCGTCTGCGTCGACGCTGAGCTCGCCATGGCCGCCGGGGCCGAGCTCGCCCGCGGCCGTGCTGCGCTCGCTGTGGCCGCCAGGTCCAAGCTCGCCCCTCCCCCATGGCTGGAGCTCGAGTAGAGGTCATGCTCGCCCTCGCCGTCGGTGCCGAGCATGCCCCCGCCGACAAGCTCCCGTCCGGGTCCCGAGCGGCCACGATGTCCCGAGCCAGAGAGATGAGAGGAGGAAGAAGATGACACGTGGGGTCCGCGTGTTAGTGACACGGGAGATGAAATATACTTCTTCTTATACGCCTGCAGCTGAGCTCAGGCTGTGTCCATACGTATTCAGTGGCATTTTTGTGGGAAACAAAAAATTATAATGACATGTTTTAAAATAGACAAATCGTAATGACGTTTCTGCGAACAGCGAAAATTATAATGGCGTTTCTCCGATTAACCCTAACCAAAACCACGAGCACGATAAGACAAGACATTTGTACGTACAGGCGACTCGGGGGGCGACCGAGCCACCACCGCCGGGACCTCCTCCTCGCCGGCTCCCCGGCCGCCGCCGCCGCTCCCTAGGTAGCGGTGGCAGCGGCCCGCTGCGGCGCCCAAAAAGGCTCCCCGCGGCAGCTCCCTCCTCCCTCTTCCTTTCCTCACCTTCTCTTCCTCCTCCGAGCTAGGAATTCTTCGGCAGCAAGGATGGTCTTCGGCGAGCATGGGCGGCGGATCCGGGTTCCCTGGGCATGGATTCGGTGACCCCTTCCCCGGATCTGGCGCGTGGGGGCCGAGGGGGCGCGGCGGCGGCCGGCCGTATCGCGGAACCGGCCGGTGGGCGCGCTGGGGCTCAAATCCGGTGGACCCTGCCCCGGATCTGACGCGCGGGCGTGCTGGCGGTCGGCTGCGGCAGCGGCTCACACCAGGGCACGGGCGCGGCGGCCGGCAAGGCTCCAGGGCGCGGCGGCTGGCTCCCGGCTCGTGGCGCTCCAGGGTGTGCGGGCGACGCTCCCCGGCTGGCACCAGGGCGCGGCGACCGGTGGGGCACCTGGGCGCGGCGGCCGGCTCCCTGCTCGCGGCGCTCCAGGGTGTGCGGGCGACGCTCCCGTCATGGCCGTCCCCCAGCTCCACCGGTCCCACTGTCTGCTCTGCCGCAGGGTGGTCGTGCTGCTGCGGCGGGAGACAGCGTCGAGGGCCAGCGTGCTGGCGCGGGGTACCACGGCAGCGACGCGGTCCTGGGTGGGTGTGCAGCGGCAGGCGCCGGCCTGCTAGCGGTGCGCGGCTCAGGATGCTGCGCGGTAGCCGGTGGGCGTAGGGCGAGCCAGATCCGACGGCTGCTGAGGCCAGCGGCCCTGCCCCGGGTCCGGCGCCGCCTGGGCCGGTGGGCGCAGGACGTGCTGCACGACCTGGAGGCCTTGTCTTGTTCCCGGACCCGTACCTCCACGCGGGCGCCGACGAGTTGAGCATGGCGTGCTGGGAGGACGACCCCGTGGTGCGGGGCTTCCTGGGGGACGGTGGCTCCCACGATCGCCTGCTGGAGCTGTTCCTGAACGCGACTCGGCCGTTCCTGGTGCACGAGCTGCCGCACGTAGGTGTACTGGGAGGACGTCCTCCTGGGACCCAAGGTTTTGGTCGGGCAGACGGTGCTACCCCACGACACCACCGTGCTCCAGCCGTGGAACAACGGCGCCGAGAACACCAAGCCAGCAGCAGGCGTCGTCACGCGGGGCCAGCTCGCTCCTCGGTGGCCTCCGGCCCGGCGCCCACACGGCGGCGTCCTAGGTGCTGGCCTACAGGTCACCATCGCCATGGTGCTGCCGGATTGCTGGCCGGCTGGTTAGCCGGCTCTTGCCACGCGGCGGGCGTCTACGACACCGCTGCTCCCCTACAGCTCTCGTCGGCGGAATGTTTCGGCCTTCCGCTGACATATGGAGTCTGGGTGAAAACCCTGCCTGGCTGTTGCTCCAGGCTAGCGATGATGGCGCATTGGCGTCATATCCTTCCCTGGAGGCGTCGCTGCAGACTCCAGTTTTGGGTCGCCGATGGCTAGCTGGCTACCTATGTGGATTGGAGAACCAGTGGCGAAAGCCACGCCTGATTCCCCGGGCTGACAGCGGCAACGCCCTTTGCGCCGCACACCTTCCTGAAGGCGTTGTCATGCTCCTCCACAGGCCAACTTGCTGTGTGATGATTGATGTGTGCCTCCTTGCTCCTTGCTTCCCTCTTGGGTGAGACTGGGCCTGGCTGTCGGTCTTTGCCGATGTTTCGACGAGTGTCCTCCTTTGGCGTCTCTGCTCCGTCTGCGCTCTCCTTGATGGTGCTAGAAAATCAAATGTCGGGTTTCCACCGCTACCGCCATTTCTTTCCATGATTTTCTCCCCGTGGACGACATTGAATGGTGGTACGTGAGCCTGGAAGTGCTGTAGGTGTTACCATCAGCTTCAAGGGAGATCGTCGTGTCCGGTGATTTTGTGCTTGCGTGTCCGTTACCACTCTTAGTTCTCTTAGTCCCCATTCCACTGTTGGTCCTCGGATGGAGGGCGGCAGCAGAGCGGCGTAGCTACGAGGAGTGGTGCAGGGCACAATGGCCGTGGCGTAACTGGCGAGTATGCTGTTCGGCGGTGGCGCAAATCGATGATCGGTTGGCGTCCTTCGACTTGAGTCTAGGCTTATCTTGAGTTCTCGTCTTGGCTCTTCTTGTTTTTGTTAAGTGTTGCTGTTGTTGCTGTTGCTGTTGTTGTTGCTGTTGTAATCTCTCCCTCCCCCTTTGTACTTCTCTGAACTCGTTGTATCTGGATTGGCACCACGCCCTTCCACCTCCCGGCTTGCCCGGCATCCGTGGAATGAAAATTCAGGTGGGGATCACTAGTGCAGTATTGAACATCAGTCCTGGTTGAGAAACCCCCTTTAGTCCTGGTTTTTCAACCGGGATTGCGAATTCGGGACTAAAGGCCCCTCCTTTAATCCCGGTTCTGGGAACCCGGACTGAAAGTGGACCTTTAGTCCCGGTTGCTATTACTAACCGAGACTAAATGGTCCCCTAGACCTTGCCTCGGGGCTGGCACGTTTAGTCCCGATTGGTGTTTCCAACCAGGACTAAATGTTCTTTTTTCATTTTTTTCATTTTTCTTTTATGGATTCTTTTCAATTTTATTCTTTTTGGTTTCGATTAGCTTTTCGTGCACAAATTCTATGCTGCTAATATACGTCCATATATACGTACGTATAAGGTTCCGTTTGAGCAGTATACATAAATAACACACTACAATGTATGAAACTATGTATATACAAATATTTTAAAAGGTTGTATGTACATGGAATATGTACATAATAAAGTCACAAAAACCTTGTACTCACGTCCTTGGGATTTCATTCAACCCAAATTTTCAGTCGTATGGCTACTAGGTAATAATTCTTTAGGGTCATAGTAGTACGCGTCTTTGGGATCTATGACCTGATCTATAAGAAAACCTGACAATGCCTCTTGAATTGCTTTGATCTGGTCACATTGCAGAACCTTTTGCTTCCTCTATTCAACCTTCAATTCGAATGAAAGGAAAAGTATGAATATATATATATATATATATATGATTATATATATCAACACAATGGTAATAAATAATTTGTGTATATTTTTTACGTACTTGGAGGATCTCTTTTGGAGTTCTCCTTCAGTACTCCATGAGGAACTCGCAGACGTAGTATCCACATAAGTTGTTTCCCGATCCCTGCTGTAGACACCACTTTACGAGAAAAGATTCATCATCAACCAATGAAGCATGATAATAATGAATTGAACTAAATAAAGATGCGGTGACCAAGCTAGTAATTATTGGGTATTGGACTATATCGAGAGGCACTTTTCAATGACCATAATGGTGTTTCTGGGTAAACTTTTTCCAAGCACCGTCCAACAAAATAAATAAATGGAGTTATATCAATAAAATGGCATAAGAGAGTACACAGTGTGCGATACCAAAATTAGCACTGGAGAATATTTATCATTTCTTGGTAATCTTCTCGGGGTTTTGTCACTGAGTCAAAGATCTTTACAAGACTCTTGAGCATATCGATGACCAACAGTATCCAGTGAAAGCTACATGTTTATACGCAGGCATAACTCATTAACTAAAGTCAACATGGAGTGAGCAAAATAAAATGAGACATTAACAGTCACTTGAAGTTGTAAGGAAAGAGTATCAGTGTCTTGTCATGTTGCTTATCTAAAAACCTAAATAGATTCTTCTCCACTTGAGATCGCCATCTATTATATGGAGTAATCGTGCCTCTGAATGTGCGATTCGGATCCATAAAACCAACATTAGTTAACTTTTTTTCTTTAATTTCATCATCTCATATTTGCATTTATATAGTACAAAAGAATATATATAGTGTGAGGATAACTATACATAGACAACGAACTAACATGTAAGTTACTTCAATTGTAGAAAGAATCACTTACAGACACCAACAGCTGAGGAGAGATTTGTCGAGAGCGTCTCGTTTTAATAGTTGGTGTAATTCATTTAACTCAATATGTACAATGTCATAGCCATTGAAGTAATGCTCTGATCTAACTTTGGCAAGAAGCCATGCCCCTTCCTTCACACACGCATTTAAGTACCACTTGTTTAACAAGAACATTTGCGTACCTAGTGATGACCAGGACTTAGGGTTGACAAGACTCCTGCCATACACATAGGTCCCATAAATATCAAATTTGGCTGTTGGTATCGATCCTCCCCCAATGAGTTGTTGAGGTGTGAGACCTGCTGTGTCCATGAAGTCTTGGAGTGCTTCCCTATCGATTGGACCGCCTTGTGCTTTTGTACAATCATCCTCAACAGCTAGCGGGTTGATAGATTGCTTAAATTGTTGTCCAAGCTATGCAATATCTTTCCCTGCTCTCTTTGCTTTCAGCGATGTCTTATATGACTTGTCAAGAGAGCGTTCATAGTCCGATAATGGCGGGGGCTTACATGCCTCACGTTGCTTTTTCTCCACTTCAATGACTCTTTTCCTTAGTTCTCGTTGAGCTGTGTAGTGCAGCTTTGGCGGGTTTTCATAAGTTCCTTCTTCTTTGCTATTGATTCCGCTACACTTTGTCGCCGGTTATCCAAATCTTTTTGTGCCGCCGCTTTTGATTCCTCTTCATAAGGTAGCTTATGTGGGGACTTTGTTTTATGATGGCTAGCTTTCTTCTTCAACGAGGACTTCACCAGGGGCGGGGGCCTCTTATGGTGCCTCTACGGCGCGGGAGGTGGAGGAGGGGGAGACCGCCTTGGAGGAGATGGAGATGCAGCCATGCCATGTAACGCATCATCATCGTCCAGAGCATTATCATCGTCCAAAGCATTATCATCGTCCAAAGCACTCTAATGATCATCATGGGATGGAAGAACTAGACTCAGGTTGGGAGGCCTGTGAGTACAAAAATGATTGTGAGTGGTTATACACGAGAAGCCAATAATTGAGAATGATTATTGAAAAATTATTTCGTTCACTTTCATCCGCACCTATCATGTGGTAGTTGAGGAGGAGGCGACGGTACCCTAGCCGCCGCACCGGGAATAATGATGTAGCGCTTGCGCCATATAACGAATGAATGCTCTGCTAGTCCTACGGTCTTCTCCCCATCACCTCCAGGAAAGTCAAGAGTCACTTCCCTATATTCTTTGATAACTCTATCCACCGAGACGCTATAATATCCAGGTGGAATTGGATTCCCATGGCTTCTTGGTGTCTTCTCAGGGACCACAGGAGAAACAATACCGTGCGCCACCATGACTGTGATATTCCCCATGGGAATGTGCAGCTCACATGGCGTCAAAGGCATAGTGATGTCATCCACGGGGAAGTGCTGTAATGCGTCATCTTAATTTTTGGAGCTCAGTAGAAACGTAGTTGCTTCTTAACTGAGGGGGGCTAACGTTGACTCCATGCTCCAATGTTGACTACCTTTGGCTACTCAACAGTAGTGCCACTTGCCATCTGATTTCCTCTTGCATTCTCGCCTTCATGTTTAGTTCTCGCTCCAGCGATCGAAGCACCGCCTCCTCTAACCTGCGGATCTGCTCTGCCTCCTCATCCTCCTTTCACCGATGGCTTCTTTAGGTAGCGGCATCCTCAGGGAAGCCATGCTGCCATGAAATCAACCCTTTGCCTCATGTTCGCCTAGGGTGTTCAGGAGTCTGGAGGGCATACGTCAGCTCATCCTTCTATCGGTTGGGCACAAAGGCACCATTGGTAGAAGCATCTACAATATCAAAAAGTCTTTGTGTTGCTGTTCTGATTTGCCCACCAACAACTGGCTCCCCAGTCTCTGGGTCTAGTGATCCCCCATACGCGAAAAACCAATTCTTGGAGCGTTCGGGCCAATCGATTGAAAATGGATGGATCCCTTCGGAAAGTAGGTCTACTTCCATTCTTTGCCACCTAGGAATGCCACTCCTGTAGCCACCTGATCCCATTTTATGATGGTATACCTTTTGTCACGCATTCTGTTGGTTCCTTCTCACCCGTGCCTCACCCTCTTTCGAGGTCTTGTACATCACAAATTCAGGCCAGTTGTCCCTCAACTTTTTGTACGGGCTATTATCACTGAAATCTAGAGTCAGATTCTTCT